AGGGCGGTAGTGAAAGACGACGCCTGCAAGGGCAGAGAGGGGCATCACTTGCATGGGGTGCACGGCTCGCATGTGGTACATGGGGTGCACAGGTTGCACAGGATGCATGGCTCGCATGACTTGTACAGAGTGCACAGGGTGCAGCTTGCATAGGATGCACAGGGCGCATGGACTACATGAGATGCATGCGGTGCATGGAGTACATGGGGTACACGGCTCACACAGGGTGCACAGGGTACATGGGGTGCATGGCTTATGCAGCTTGTACAGGCTGCACAAGGTGCACAGCTTGCACGGGGTGCATGGGTTGCGTGGGGTGCACAGCTCACATGGCTTGTACAGGGTGCACGGGGTGCACAGCTTGCATGGGGTGCACAGGGTGCACAGCTTTTATGGGATGCATGGCTCACACAGCTTGTACAGGGTGCACAGGGTGCACGGCTCACATGGAGTACATGGGGTGCACATCTTGCACAGGGCACACAGCTCACACTGTGTGCACAGCTTGCATGATTTGCACAGGATGCATGGGGTCCACATCTTGCACAGGGTGCACGACCCCCACAGACACCCATGCCACCCCACCGCGACACCCCCGCAGCTCTCACCATGCCCCCCCAGCTCACCTGTCACCTCCAAGGGCAGCAGGTCCTGCTCATCGTCGATGCCAGCCACCACCTCGCAGCGGTACAGCCCAGCATCGCTTGCACGGGCGGCGTGCAGCACCAGCGTGGCATTGGAGCGATTGTGGGGGTACCCAGGCAGGGCCACCCGTCCCTCGTAGGCCTTAACCACCTTCACCGCGTTGTCCTTGGCCACCAGGATGGGCACATCCTCCCGCTGGCCGGTGGCCGAGCGCACCTTGCTCCATTTGATGCGGGGGGGGTCAGGGGGCTCATTGGGCCCCAGCGCAGCCGAAGGCTGGAGCAGGAAGAGGCAGGGCAGGGCCACGGGCTCCCCCAGCCCCACACGCACTGCCTGGTGCTGCACCCGGTTGATGTGGATCACCTTCCCCTCGTCCTGGGAGCCTGTGGGAAGAGGTGCCCAGATACCATGGGGATGGGCGGCAGGGGTCTGAGGGCCCCCATGAGCCCCCAACCCCCCCCAAGTAATGGCATCACCGGGACGTTGTGCAGTGCCCCTGTTTAGTGACTGGACACTGACTTTTCCAGTTAAATCTGCCCCCTCAGGGGCAAGAACCTTGACTTGGTCAAGGCCCCAGTCCACTCTGGATGCTGCTGGACTGTAGGCGCTGCCCTGCACCCATTGGTCACACACCGCACCTTTGGGGACACCAGTACCCCCCATCACTCTCCACAGAGATGGACCCCAACAGCTCAGGGCTACCCAACCCCTAAGGCAGCAGCAGCAAAGCCACCCCCACACTGGGATAAAGCAACCATGA